ATAATTGAGTTTGAAAAAGTCGAAAGGTTGAGTGGATAACAACTCAAGGGGCGTGCCTCGAGAACTATTCACTCGAGAATTCAAGGAATGCTAGATTCCAAGAATCTCCTTCTTTCGGAGTTTTAATCGAAAAAGATGTCGAGAAAGTGTTCGAGAACATCAAAAGATTGAGTGAATAACAACTCAAGAGCGTGCCTCGAGAATTATTCACTCGAAGATCCAAGGAATGCTAGATTCCAAGAATCTCCTTCTTTTGGAGTTTGATCAAGAAAATGTTTTAAAAACTAATTTGAAGCGAAAATGAAATAGTCTCGACTAAATTATCATCCATCAATAATTTGACCGATGATAATTATTAAAAAATTGTCATTTGACCAAAATGAGCAGGAAATGAATAGAAATCAAATAATAAAAAAATAAATAATAAAATGGATAGAATAAGAATCGAGAATGACAACACTAGTAAAACTAACATTTTAAAACAAGGTTTATTTGAAAAAAATCTAAAAGAGAAAAGCGGTACATAATTGAAGGGCGGTAATGGATAGAAGTAAAAATGATGAGAATCATATGGGCTAAAGACAACCCATCATCTCCATCTTTAAAAGACATGATGAATGACCAAAATGGGCCATAGTTCTCATACTCGGTCCATATACATGAGCACACCCCACTTACTTGAAAAATGATAAAGAAAAATAAGAAGACAAAAAGAAAAAAAGGAAAAAGAACCGGTTGAATCAAAACCGTAACACCATCTTCATAAAGAAATCACTCAAAAAGAAACACTCATTAATCGCATTGAAAGAAAAAGGAACAGCGCTGAAACACTACGAAGAGGAAACATCATGATTCCAAAACATGACCCAACCTTCTCGTGTGATTTCCACCTCAATCCAGTCCGCTTCTTTAGATCTTCCAGCGTTTCTCTTCGTCTCGATTCCGATTTAGGTTTTCACTTGATTTGGAATTTGATTTCTATTCAGGTTTGTCGTATGGCTTGCTCAATCTCTCTCTTCATCTCCTATTCTCTGAAATTCTTTTTGAGTCTGAACCTGTTTTGGGGTTTGAGAAATGAGGAGAGTTCGGTTGTGAGCTTCAGTGGTTCGGGTGTTTTTTGTTTCAAAGGTGAGTTTGAAGTGGTTCACACATCTCCATAGGTGATGGGAGGGGTGATTTAGGGATGAGGATGAGAGGGTAATTTTGCAAAAAACAATTGTCGGTTGCTGGCGCATTAGAACGGAAGGGTTGTGCGAAAAGGGGTTGAGGTTGTCTGAAGGAAAAATTGAAGGTGGAGTTTCTATGATACGGGTTTGATGATTTGTGAGTAAGAGTGGTTGTTGGAGTTTCTGTTGAAGAAGGTGGAAGCAGTGGCGGAAGGAATTGCGTTTTGGGTGGGTTTGAAAAAAGAAAACGTTGGGGTTTGGTTTTTTGTTGTTATTTCGAGGGTGAAAGGTTTTATGGCTGATGAAGGACTAGAGGTGATGAAGATTTTTTGAAGGCTGAATAAATTGTTTGAGGTTAGAACTGACATTCTGCAGCACAAACTTGGCTCTCCGAGCTTTTTTTTGAATGAGGGAGGAAGGGATCCAATTTATCAAAGTGAAGAAGGGTATTTTGGGATTTGTCTCTGAAATTTCGTTAGGGAAATTGCGGTTCGTCACTTTTCGTTTCAGCAAGCAGGAGGTACCATGTTTACTATTTTCATTGTGTACGATTTATGAGTCGTGGTTTTAATGCTCTCCTTTTGTGTGTGGGTGTAGCAGGTTTTGTGACTGGTTGGTTGTGTGTAATGGAAAAGTTTGAGGTGCGTTGCATTGCAGGTCCATTAGGGAGTCCAAAGTGGTCATGGTGTGGACAAATTGTTTTTGGTATGGCTGTGAGGCATACTGGTTTTGTTTGAAATTTGTTGTGCAACATGCTGCAGGACATGGTTTTTGAAAAAACTGCCCTTGCAAGCTTTAAGACAAACATACATCCTCTAAAAGTGAGGATTCAATTGAGTAGAGTTTTCACTGCTTTCCTCATGAACTGGTGGATGACTTATAATCTTCACAGTTGATATTGGGTTTGCTCTTAATAGTTCATGACCATAGTAATAAATTCTTCTATACTGCTCTCTAAAAGAACCATTCACAATATCAGCAGCTAGTGTTTTAGCTCTATATGCCAATGTCTTGTTACTCCCAACATTCCACTTTTCATGTGTCTTCTCCATAATATCAGTCAACTTCAAAGTTGGATTCTCTCTAAATTGTTTGAGTCTTCTTGCCTAACCATTTTGAATTGAGGAACCTAATCTTATAATCCCTACTACAAGTATGTTTGTCCATAATTGTCCTCAATTTCCAAGTCTCCTGATCTTTTATATTTGCATAGTAAGCCTCCCATGGGCAACCTGCCTTACATTTAACTCTCATTCTTGCCTTATCATTTTTTGTAAATTTCAAGTTCCTTTCCTGAATGAATGACATGTGTTCTTATTGCCTCTTGAAACACCCCCTTTGTAGAAAAACATGTACCAAGTTTCCATTTGTAGTCTTCCATTCTTTTTGGAAGCTTAAAGGTTACAAAATCATCCTTTACAACCTCATCATTCTCACTGTCATACTCAGTAGACATTTTATCACTGTCATACTCCTCTATGTCACCTAAACCTCTCAAATTGTACAGATTTACCTCACCATCATTATCAGCACCTACATCCCTAACAATGACCTTCTCCTTTCCTTTCCCATTTCCTTTCCCTTTAACTTTCCCCTTCCCTTTCCCTTACCTTTCCCCTTACCTTTCCCATTGTTTTTCCCATTGCCTTTTCCCTTCAACTTACTTGTTGCATTCACTTCATCCTCATCAATTGTTATCTCTCCATCAGTATCTATGTCATTCTCCGAGTCTTCAAAATTAACATTCAAAGCACTGTCATCACTTCCATCTTCTTGGTTACAGTTAACTACCTCATCTTGTTCTTGGTTACAATCAGTCCTTCATTGATTTCATCTCCTCCAACATTCATCCCTACATCCACATTCTTCTCCAGTTCACAGGTGGTCCTCACATCATTCATATTGTTATAGTTTGTCTCCTCTTGACCCACATTCTCCTTAGTTTCACAGTTGGTCCCCAAATGACCCACATTTTCCTCAATTCCAACATTCTCTTGAATCCTAACATTCTCCTCAACTTCATCAACTCTTGTCCCCTCTTCCACCACATCTTCACCCAATGTGGTCCCACCTTCATTACTTCCCCCTTCATATACTTCACCAACCACATCCTCAGCCACTGTGGTCCCATCCTGATTATTAATCATATCAGACCCTTCACCACACATATCTTCACCCAATATGCTCACATGTGGTAGTGAGAGTATGAGTTCCTCAATAACATCAGGTTCCGATACAGGATGTGTAACATACAAGTGACATTCCCCGGTTAACACCGCAATGGTTCTCATCTTATCAGTCCCCTTATCATTTTCTAACTGAACTATATCATTAGCAATCATACCATCATAATACCAAATCCTATCAATAGTAGGGTAATCTAACTCTCTTAACTTGTCCAATATTTCAAATTAACTCCAATAATCAGGATCAACATCACATATCTCCTCTAACCCTACATAACCTGACTTGGTAAAATTTTCAAACTCCCTAGAAAACTCACCAGAATGTGAACAACACACTTAAATCTAATCTACATGACCTAATCAACCTACATATAGTATCAGAAGTACTAAGTAAGTTAGGTATAGAAGAAATTTAATATTTTTTGAATCGTATTTGTGCAAGTTCGTACCTTAGGGTTTTTGTGCAGACGAGTGAAATAATGAAGTTCTTCTTCTTCGTTCTTCTGCAATGAACTTCATTTTCAAACAAGTGTTGTTGTCGTACCTTAGAGTTTTCTTGTTGTCGTAAACGTCGCTATCGTCGTCTTCAATGAACTTCGTCTTCAAACAAGTGTTGTTGTTCACAATGTAGCTGCTCTCTGAACCTGAGCTTTCATCCAACAATGTTATCATGCCCTAATACGTTTCATCTCCTTAAAATGAATGTTAGGTGTAATACAAAGTCCACCTCATCCATTAAAATAATTACAGAATATCCACCTAAGTCATTTAAAGTTCAGTAGTGCAATTTCTAACGTTTTCCAAATCAAAACTAATAAAAATGACTAATATACGTAACCGAGTATAAATTAGTGGATCATAATGTAACGTTTTTTTTCTTAAGAGACCAAAGCGAAACAAACACTAAAGTTAAGAGACTAAAAGAGATATTAAGCCAAAATTTTACATCGTGAATCATCATCTTTCATTTATATTACTCTATAAATGATTAAAATAAAAATCAATCTCTTTTGCGCTTTTCAAAATCCATGATTAAGTTAAACATAAAATTCTTTTAATTTCGAGTAAATTCTATAAAAATATAATTTTACCTTATACTAGAAACAAAGGTGATAGAAGAAAGATCGATGAAAAAGGAGTGGGTGTCTGCCGACCCTATAAACCAGACCCCACCACACACGCGGTGAGAAACACAACTCAAAGTACTCGACCAATGCAATAGAAGTAGAAAAGAATGAAGAAAACAAAGTATGAAAACAAAAACAAAAACAGCTGTGTAACAAACAATAATAATGAAACAAACAAAAGAAACAATGTCAGGTCAGCATTCAGCAATAATAAAATCAACACGGGAACCAAACTTCAAAAGTCAATAACCCCAACCTTTTCTTTTACCCATTTCCTCCATTTCTTCATCAACCAAAACTAAACCGAACCACTTCATCATCCTCTTTGTTACATCAATCATACACCACGCAGATCTTCTTCCCTCTGGTTTTTGTAATCGGTAAGGACCCTCTGTTTTTTGGTGATCGGTGTTTTATTGCGGAAAAGTTGTTGACTTATTCTTTGTGGTTGAAGGTTAGTAGAAGAATTTGATGCTGAGTTATTATTATACACAGAAAAGTTGAGGTGGGGGTTGGAGTATATGGATAATTTCTGTTGCTTCAGCTCTGTCAGTCAGGTTAGGAGGAAATTCTTCTACCTCTTCTGATTTCTACTTGGAATTATCAATTTTCATGATTATGCTAGTGCTTAATTTTTTTAGAATTCTTCTTTGTTTTGATATCATAAAGAGTATGTGGACTTGAGAACAGTTTCTTGTTGTATTCTTGAGTTTTACTCAAATTGCAGAAAATAGGTAGAATAATAATAATTTGTTCAAATTCTGCTATGATATAACGCTATAGTGCCGCGATACTATACTTGACAACACTGATTGAGAATATTAGTAAATTTAGAGTCGTTGTAGTTTTTTGAGGCTATGTGTAGATAAGTCTCGATTCAACCATGGCAAGACAACAAGAGGTTCTATTTAACCACGGTTTAACGCTGACGGATATAATTTGGGCACTGTGCGGTGGCCCTCCTAGTTATAATTTGCTTATATGTCTTTTAGCGTCCTTCACCTCGCCAACCGAGTTGACTACTTTGATGGAGATTAAAATTTGAAGTATAAGTTGTTTTGGTGTGTATTTGTATCTGTCAAGGACAAATTCTTCTAAAATCTTAAGCTATGAAGTACTGGCTTAGCACTGATGTTATACCTCTAACATGTCTCCTTATTCGAGAAATCTTTGAGCTTAACTGCAGGTAGTTCGCGGGCATGCTTTATCTTGTACTACTGTTTAGTTATAGAGAAGGATTTTCCTATTACTATAGGATTACGCCAAAGGCTTACTTTCGGCGCATAAGTCGTTAGACCCTAAAGTTAAATTTTAATATGATATCAGAGTCTATTCTAGATGTTTTTAGAGCAATATGTCTTTTATTTTGCCCTCCAGATGTCTAGCCTTGAACGTGAAGGTGTAAAGATAGCTGTTATTCCACCCGCATCAGTCATGTCCCGTGTCTGAGGGTGTGTTTGAACTCCCGCATCAATTAGAGATATGATATGACCCAGGCAATGCTTATAAGTCTTGGTTAGTCCTCGATTTACAAGACAACTTTGTGGGGATAAGTTAGGCTTGGTTAGCCAATATATTGATGGTGGGATAGCGATGATGAGATTATTACTATTTCTCGGGTATTATTAAATTTGTGACTTAATAAGATTGAAATATGTGTTTTTTGAATAGGAAATGTGCTTCTCCATTTCATTTCCAACCGTGGCTCGGTTTCCTTTCTTTACGGATGTAGATTTTTTCTTTAATATATAATGTTAATTGTTAAGAGATGTGTTTAACAAATCGTATGAACTCTTCTATGTTTATAGGCGGTTGGAGGGCGTTCTTCATGCAACTCTGGCAAAGGTAAAAGCAGTCAGTCGCCGGTCAAATATGGATTTAGCCTTGTTAAAGGGAAAGCCAACCATCCAATGGAGGACTATCATGTAGCAAAATTTGTCCATTTCAAAGGACAAGAGCTAGGACTTTTTGCTATATACGATGGACACCTCGGAGACAGTGTACCGTCGTATCTACAAAAGTATCTCTTTTCTAATATCTTGAAGGAAGTGAGTTGTTGAACCAAAACTAAAGATATTATGTTACATATGGTATTGCGTGATCTTTTTAATTCCTATTGTTAATTATATTTATGGCTGTGATTGATTATCCAGGACGACTTCTGGAACGATCCATTCATGTCGATCTCTAAAGCTTATGAGTCAACAGATCAGGCAATTCTTTCTCACAGTCCTGATTTGGGGCGAGGAGGATCAACCGCCGTGACTGCAATTCTCATAAATAATCAGAAACTCTGGGTTGCCAATGTTGGAGATTCACGAGCAGTTCTGTCAAGGGAAGGTGTAGCTGTACAGATGACTACCGATCACGAACCTAATACGGAACGCGGCAGCATTGAGAATAGAGGCGGCTTTGTCTCAAACATGCCAGGTTCTTCAATTAACCCAGAAATCTTTCTGCTGTTGATTTGTTTGATCCATGTAACCGACTCCATATAGTGGAATAAGACTTGGTTATTATTATTTGAACAACTTGTTTCATTGGTGTGGATTATGTATATCAGGAGATGTTGCAAGAGTGAATGGGCAACTTGCGGTTTCTCGAGCATTTGGAGACAAAAACCTCAAAACACACCTACGATCTGACCCCGACATTCAGTATGCTGATGTTAACCAAGATACCGAGCTTTTGATTCTCGCTAGTGATGGTCTATGGAAGGTCTTCAAATCATCTCTCTTTTTAACTATTATTATCATTTCAATCTTTACACTTGTACCTTAATTTTTTCATCGATTCATCCAGGTAATGGCGAATCAAGAAGCGGTCGATATCGCGAAAAGAATAAAGGATCCACAAAAGGCAGCTAAACAACTAGCTAGTGAGGCATTGAACAGAGACAGTAAGGATGATATTTCTTGCGTTGTAGTTCGTTTCAAGGGATGAAAAAGGGAACATACACACATACATATGTAAAAAAAAAGTTATAAAATTGAGGTTCTTGAGCTTAGGTGGTGTGAGATTTAGAATTTATTGATTTCTTGGTTGTGATATAGATTCATACATGATAAATTTTCTTTGTAATATGCTTTATGTGATGGAGGAGTAGTGTGTGATGGATGGCCACAGTTCATACATTATTGAACATGGGATTATTTATTTTAAAAACGAGTGAGTGTATGATTAAATATTCTATACTTGAATTTGTCTTTAAATATATAATAAGAGACAAAACAAAATAGGTAAAGTTGAACATTCTAAGACTGAAATTGTCTTATATGTTTTACAAAAGTCTTTAAAGTCTAATCTAGTTATTTAAAGTGTGATATGACATAAACCAGACCTACACTACCTTTGACCCATTACCACCATCTAAACCACAAACATAAACAAATATCTATGCCACCATTGACTCAGTTTGGAACACCACACTAATTTCATCATCATACTTAATGGTTGTAAACCAGACAAAGCGTGCTAACAAAAAATAGATTGAAAGAAATATTAATTAAGGATTTTATTTTTTCTAACAAAGAGGGCCAAAGTCAAAAAAAAGAAAAGAAACTAAATCGATCCTACAAGCGGATCTAAACAATAAACTTTATCAGCTTCCAACAATAACACCAACATTTATCAGCTTCCAACAATAACACCAACATATAAGGAATAAGAATTTTGGCGTAGTTCTTAAAATCTCTAGTAGGTGTGCGGAATTGTAACTAGCTTATGATCTTTAATTAACTTCTTAATTTTCCTAATCAACATACGATAATTAGGAATGCTTTGACTATCATCATGAATATCTTTCACCACCAACTCAGAGTTTACATTCACTTCCACTCTTCTCAACCTTAAACTAGTTTAGGTGAGCTTGAGACCTTCCAAAACTCCCCAACATTCAGCCATGATGGCACTACACTTTTCCAAAAAACTTGGAAAACCCACCCAACCAATCATCCTTCATTATCTCGAATAACACCACCACACCCAGCCCCACTATGGTTCTTACTAGCTCCATCAGTATTAAGCTGGACCATATTGCTCGAAGGCAACTTTCAAACATATTCCCTCCTATTCACCTCGCGTCGACACACAAGAGAATTCATGTTACGACATCCTTATAATTCTTTTACTTTTGAAAAATAACATATGTTGTATCAACAGGTCCTCACAAACTCATTATCATGTTCTTCATAATTCCTCCACATCTAAAAGGTATGACATGCAAAACCGCCCACACGTTCCTCCAAATGCTATTCTCATCACCCTTAGCTCTTAAATTGAAATGAATCTAAGTGGCGAAGCCAGAAAGTTTTTGAAGCCTGGGCAAAAATTTAAAGACAAAAAATTCATATTGTATATATAAATAGTTATTAATCAAAATAAAAGATCATTAATTTAATTGATTTCGCCAGAATTTTAAAACTAACATAGTCATATCCAATTTGAGGCTGATACTAACATGGAATATCATTTCATGTGATTCATAATAATTCTAGAAATTAGCAACAAGTTAACAACATAATTTTATTTACTAACTACTGTAACTACAAACTAAATTTAAAATACAAATTCCTAGTTAACATCAATTGAACCATATAATTTAGAGTGAACATAAATTGAAGAATTGGACCTAATATATTTTTTATATTATTTGAGGATAAAATTTATTCTTTTCTTCTTCTTTTTTACAACACTATACATGTTTTTTTTATAATTTTAGTAACGGCTACTTTTATGTTAAATTTTATTTTTTCAAGTATTCATTTTTTGTTTTTGGTTAATTTGGTCATATATAGCAAATTTATTTTAATTTTGCACTTTTTGTAATGTAGTTGAATCTAAATATTATCATATAAAAAAATAAATATAATGTATGTTTAATTGCATAAAAAAGGTAAAAAAAAATATGTTTTATTTGTGAAAAATGTTTAAATTACGGCGGTTAAAACTGCCATTATCAACAACAAAAAACCGCCTTTTTCTTTAATATATATTATGACATGAGAAATTTTATTCAAAAGTACTATTTTTCTGCATTTTCGTTAGTTGTGGCGGTTTTAACCGGCATAACAGCACTTATTAACCGCCACAAATTTCATATTCTCTTATAAAATAAGACAAAATTTTGGGGCCGAGTCCGGGCACATGCCCAGCCTGGCCGGGCCGCCCATGATTATCTAATCCTGTAGCTCAAAAGAGAAAAACTCCACCATTAGCTTGCATGGCACAATATTTTTCCAAGTATCCCTAACCATAGGACAATCTCTAATAGCATGTAAAGTATCTTCACAAACACTTCCACATACATTGCAGCTAGCATTTCCAAGACCTTTCATACTTTAACTATGTTTAGTGAGAAGTCTATCATGCTTAAGAAGTCATATGAAACTCTTGTACCTCTCTGAAACTTGTAACTTCCAAATCGCCCTCCAATCATCATCTTCATGGTCACCACCATTCCTCTCAATGGCATGATAAACCTCCTTCAATGAAAACTCACCAATAGTAGTACCTACAAAAGAAAATTGGTCAGTATCTTGCTCCATGCAAGGAGGCAAGTAAGCTCAAATTTTGTCTTTCCACTCTATAGGCAGTCAAGTATCAAGCAAGCTCCAATTCCACTCTCCTTGATTATTTACCAAGTTAATCACTTTAGCTCCCACCAAATTAGTAAGTGGTGGAGAGTTGTAACACCATATTTTTTGTATGTAATTAATTATTAAATTTGAGAAAATAGAGTTTGCGTATAAATTAGAAGTTTAGTAGAATTTTGGGTGTGAGAATAATTAATAAAAAGTGATGGTATCATGATTAATGTTATAAGCAAATAATTATGTTTTATTTGTTTTGTTTAAATAGAGAATTGAGATGATATTAGGTTTAGTTTGCAGTGCGTGAAATTGGACAAGAGTTTGAGTTAGGGTTTGAAAGAGGGAGAGCTTGAATGAGACACCATTGATAAATGTTAAGAGATTCTGGAATTCTAAGGTAAGGGGGAGGATAACTATTCATGTGTGGATGCTTAGGAAAAGAGGATAGAGATGGTTCCTTACCCTCCTCCTTTGGATTTTTCCTAATTCCACCATTGATGATGGTTGGAGCATCAGATGGGTTTTCATTAAAACTCTTTCATAATTTATGTGCTTGATGTTAATTTTGTGTACTGTTTGGATGTCAAATTCGTGTGAATTGATTTGATCAATTCTGCAATTTGTTATTCTTATTGGTTGTGTTAAAAGTGTTGAAGATGATGACGAGTTTATATCAAATCGATGAAATATATGTTAATATGTGCCTATTTGATTGTTTTTTTATATTTTATCAACATTTATGATTGAACTTTGTGTGTTTGGGATCGATGAGGTCAAAATCAGAGCTTTGATAGGGCTTCAATGGTGGAAAATCTCACTTTTGACGTTGATGTTCTAGGCTCTCGCACTTAGCGTGGTTGAAGCCTCGCTTAGCAAAAAATTTCTTAGTGCGAGGAGGTTTCGATCAACGAGATGTCTGCTTCTGGGTTTGCTGGTTTTTCTGTGACTTGCGCTTAGCGAGCAAAAGTTGCGCTCAACGATCCCTAGTTGCGGTTAACAATAATGAGAGTGCAGAGTTGAATATTTTCGGATCGATTTTGTGACAGGGTACTATTTTGACAAGTAATTGGCACTGCCATGTATTATTTGAGAGTATTTGATTTTGTTTGATATGAATCAATGCATTTTATTTAATTGATAATTATTATGCATGAAATGGTTGAGTTTATGTTGAGTTGTAATCAATTGATTAGTAATGAGCATTGTTGATTCTCATGATGACTGATCATGAAAGAGTAATGGTTGAGAGGTGGTGAGTCTGGTTCAGAGAGGGGACCGTAACGAACATTGATAGAGTTGAGTTGCATTACATGCATTCATGAATTGTAGAGTTTCCCGATTCAGAGAGGGGGCCTTAGGGCAGAGGGGACTGTAGCACGATGAAAATCAATAACAAACCTCTGAGGATCCAAAAATTTGGTACCATGTGCATATAAAGTTGAGTTGCGAGTCCGGTTAAGAGAGGGGACCATGACGAGCATTTACCGAGTTTAGGAGTCGAGTATTGCATACATATTTGTGTTGAGTACAAGTCAATTGTTTATATGAGTTGATATGACTGATTAATTTGGTTATATGAGTTGATTAAATTGTTTTACATGAGTTTATGTTATTGATGTTGTTCTGGTAGTTAATATGAGTTGTGAGACTAATAACATGTTGTTTATCTATCCTTGCTGTTTATGCACATTATCTATATATGAATGTATTTTCACCCTTTTTCTGTTTGTTGTTGCGTATGTGCTCCTCTGGGGTACAGACGATCAGGTACAAGAGTATATGCTTGATTCTAGAGGATGATGTTGTGTCTCTTTAGTTATCTATCGTTCGGGTCTTAGTGAAGTCGCTATAATATGTAACATTGGGGAACTGGTTGCTTTATGTTTCTTTTGTTGTGTATCTTAATTCTCTTAAGGATTGTCGTACCACTTTCACATCTATTGTTGTTGAGACTTATACATTAAACTTATTGGTTTTCGGCTACTTATTTCTGAAAGTTTTATTTGTGGTTCTTCTATGCTATGGTAAAGCATGTTTGGCATTCTATTTGTCGAGTTATATTGAATTATTTTATCAAATGTCGAGTCAAGGAAATGAGGTGTTACAACTATGGCCTTAACACAACCTTAAATCTTCTTACGTCAAGCCAAGTTCAGTGAAATTTTTGAAGTAGATTAGATTCCAAGAACTTTCATAATCTACGAGGATCTCTAAGACCGAATGATTAGTGATGGTATTGGTGATGATAAGTAGAATAATAGTATTTGGAATTTTGTTCACCTTCTCGTGGTCTCAAAACCTTAGGATTGATCTATCATTTCTCTATTTCTTGCCTGGGGGGCAAATTTACTT